CTTCCAATATCTCAGGGGTTGCCACAAAGAAGAGGGAGTCAAGCTATTCTCCAAGGCACCTGAGGGCAGAACAAGAAGCAATGGGTGGAAATTAACCAAAGGAGAGAAGCAACTTAGAACTGAGGAGAAATTTCCTAACAGTGAAAACAATTAACCAGTGGAACAGAAGTTGCCTCCGGAGGTTTTGGGTGCTCCGACACCGAAGTTTTTTAAGAAGAGATTTCAGACATTTGTCTGAAATGGGTGTCCTGCATGAAAAGGGGGTTCGACTAGATGACCATCAAGGTCCCTTACAACTCTGTAATTCTGTTAATTTCCCCCCCAAAATCCAGGGTCAGGTGATGAGTGAAAAAGTCAAATTGTTGGCTGCTGTGGCATTATTAAAACCCCAGACTTCGTTCACATAGCCTTTATTCAGGCAGCTTTGGCCACCATCTTGACTTCTTCCTTTACACACAAATACCATGTTTTTTGGACTGTAAAATGCACCGGACTATAAGACGCACCTAGATTTAGAGGAAGAAAACAAGAAAAAAATTATTTTTTGACCCCTGCCCATCTCGTTTTTGCCCCCCTCCCGGCCCCCCAGAAGCACTTTGCAGGCCAAAAAGAGGACTATTTTGGGCCTCCCGAACCCTTTGGACGTCCCATTTTTGGCATGCAGAGTGTTTCTGGGGGCTGGGGAGGTCGAAAATGTGACATGGGGAGAGTTTGAGAGCCCCAAAACAGACCTCTTTTTGGTGAAAACAGGCTGTGCAGAGCACTGCAGAGTGCTTCTGTGGGCCAAGGAGGGTGAAAATGTGACTCGTAGGGGGTTCGGGAGCCCATATTTGGTCTATAGGTCGCACCAAAATTTTCACCCATTTTTTTGAGGGGGTGGAGTGTGTCTTATACTCTGAAAAATGTGGTAATACCCCATCCCCTTCCCCGCCTATAGGTTGCCCTGTTTTCTTTCTCTCTCCTAGATATCAATGAATGCACATCCAACCCCTGTGTCAACGGGCTCTGCCGGAACAACGCTGGGTCCTTTGCGTGTGAGTGTTCGCCTGGAAGCAAACTGGATCCCAGTGGCACTATCTGTGTTGGTAAGGAGCTGCCCTGACCAGTGATGGTCATAAGCCTGGGTCTTAGAACTTGGGTCCTGGACTCTGGAGATTGCGAATGGGAGTGCCAGGGAATGGTCACCCTGTTTAATATGTGGATGAGGTAAATCAAAAAGGATACAGAGCACACAGAAGAAAAAAGGCGGGAAAACAGGGAAACTCCCCCTTTACACTCACGACAATCAATCACAGAGTAGATCGCCTCATGCAGAAGCCCACACTCTCCGGTCAACTACAATTATGTGTTGTAGGCAAGGGGAAGAGAAGCTGGGTAGCAACCATCAGAGACGAGAGGCAGGAGCCCTCAGTGACTCAACGGTCAGGCGAAAAAATTAGGAAGGACCCACCCTAACGGATCAGGTAGTTTAAAATGGCAGTGGGACGTTTGTATTTTGAGATTTGTAAGATTCTGTTGTTATAACTGTTAAGATATTTAATTTAATAGCTGGAACAGTAGTGTAAAATTGACCAGAACACACAATTGTAGTTGACCGGAGAGTGCAGGCTTCTGCATGAGGCAATCTACTCTGTGATTGGTTGCTGTGAATGTAAAGGGGGAGCTTCCCTGTTTTCCCGCCTTTTTTCTTCTGTGTGCTCTGTATCCTTTTTGATTTACCTCATGATGTTCCTGTGTTCCTGACTATCCAGTCTGCTCCTGCATGAGGCAATCTGCGCTGTGATTGGTTGCTGTGGGTGTAAAGGGAGAGTTTCCCTGTTTTTCCGCCTTTTTTCTCCTGTGCTCTGTATCCTTTTTGATTTACCTCATGATGTTCCTGTGTTCTGACTATGCAGCCTGCTCCTGCATGAGGCAATCTGTAGTATGATTGGTTGTTGTGGGTGAACAGGGGGAGTTTCCCTCTCTCCCCCCCCCCCATGTTTTTCTTCTACGTGCTCTGTATCCTTTGTGATTTACCTCACGATTTACCTCATGATGTAGTGATGTGCCTGACTATCTTATTTATTGTAAAAATAGATGTTAAATATATTTATTTTCTATAAAATGACAACTCTGTGTCAGCGTCTTTGGCTTCATTTGGGACATTTGCTGTGCAATTCCCTCACAGTAGCCTTCCAGTAAAATAGAAGTAGCTCATCTAGTTGTAGAAGACAATGAGTTGGCTGGGCTGTTTCTCGCCAACAAGTGAGGACCGAAATGTCCTTTTCTAACTTTTGGTGATGCCTCTTTCCCTCCTCTAACCTGTCATCATCGTCATTTAACAACCCCATAATAGCAATAGCAATAGCAGTTAGACTTATATACCGCTTCATAGGGCTTTCAGCCCTCTCTAAGTGGTTTACAGGGTCAGCATATTGCCCCCAACAACAATCCGGGTCCTCATTTTACCCATCTCGGAAGGATGGAAGGCTGAGTCAACCCTGAGCCGGT